TATCGAAGAAACCCTAAAAAGCAGAAAGAGCGAAGACTCATATAAAATCAAAAATTATATACCTTAAACGATTTCAGAAATTTTCATTTGAATTTATAGAAAACATTTCTTCTAACATCACTTTGATGTCAGAATTGTTTTCGAAAATCAAGAATTTTTTCATTTCCAATTTTCATTTAGTTCTATAAACAGGTTGATAAAAATATGAATTTTATATTTTTTGTAAAAAGAAATCAATCATAAAAAACCGTCTTTCTTTATTTCGCTTTCCTTTGAGAATTAATTTCGGAATTTCGCAAATTTAATTTCGAGAGATTAACGCTTAACCAAAAAAAGCCAATAAAAGAGAAAATATCAATAAATCAATAAAAAAAATACAAAAAATTCAAATCTGATCCAACATCTAAAGTTCGTCTGTAAGCAGCATCGTAAACAACAACAACACCAAAAAAAAAAAGAAGTAAAAAATACATAAAAAAAAAAAAACACCGAAAACAGAAGAAAAATGCCGAAAAAATTGACAAACGAGGATTTAGAAACTTTGAAACTTTGGCTAACGGATCATGAGGTTCACTATAAGAATTTGAATCGTGATGCTTCCGACGCCGTATTGGTAGTAACTTTATTAAAGAAAATTCATCCGAAACTTATCGATCTGCATAACTACCCGTCACGTAATAACACGCAGCTAAAGATAAACAATTGGGAAACGTTGAATTTAAAGGTGTTAAGCAAGCTGGGTCTGCAGCAAAGCAAGAGCATGCTCGAAAAATTGGCTAAGGGTACTGTTGGTGCCGTTGAGGCTTTACTAAGCGATATAATGCTGATGGAGAAAGCGAATCAGGCTCGCGGTGATAAACGTGACGACGAGCAAGAGCAATTATGGTCGGAAAACGATGATCTTATGATGGTAACCGTGAACAAAAAGATTGGCGATGCGATCATCCAGGTGCCACAGAAAATGATATTATATTCGATTTACGAGCAAGTGTTGCGCAAATCACAAGCTAAGGACGTTTATCTGAGCGCCTCGCAGCAAAAAATTACGCATTTAGAGAACGTACTCAAATTGAAAGCGGAACGTATCGAAGAACTATGCGCTCAGCTGGCCAAGGTATCGGTGAGAAGCTTAATGAAGCAACATAATTTAGAAACTTCAAGTTCCAATTCGGCTCTGCCAACGGAAACCCTTAATGACAACAACAACAACGACAACAACAACAACAACAGCAACAGCAACATCAACAACGACCAATCGAATTTAAGAACACCCAGAACTATTACAATAACCACAGAAGTGACACCAAACGACTACAATAATAATAACAGCAGCTATCATAACATAAACAATAACCTTAGCAGCAATAAACTCTTTTAATCCAATCCTTGCTATCTATCATCAATTATAAGATACATGCATTCCGGTGGTATGTGTCTATATGATTGGGTTTGCTTGTCTGTTTGTCCGTGAGTGTATTTACTACTACTATTCTACTACTACTTATACTACCACTACTACCACTACCACTACTACCACTACCACTACCACTACCACTACTACTACTACT